CGTGCGCAAGCGCCTGCCTCGGTCTGGAAGACGCGCGGGCGCTCGAGGAGCTCGCTTTCCGGCCCAGGTGTCCGGGGCCCTAGAGGCGCGAAGCTAGCCTTGCTCGGCGGAGCCCGCATGCGCACAGGGGCTTTCGCGTTTGCTCGGCACTTCCCACCAGCGCGCAGCTTGAACTGGCATCCTGCTAGAGGGTCATAATCCGGGGTTCACACTCACCGTGACCTGTCCTGGATGGAGGAGCGAATTCAACTCCTGGGGCACTCCTGAGAGTCGGGCACTCCTGCTAGGACTTTACGTTTCCCTGTAAGTGAAATTACTGAATAAACTCACCCAGTTCGTCTGTCACTGAAATATACCCCCCTGTGCTGTATGAGACTCACTGGCACTTTGTACAGACCTACTTTGTGATATAACCTATAGAAATACCACAGTTATCTTTTACAAGCTCTCTATTCTAACCTCGGTTTTATTTTTCCTCAAACCTGTGATTTTCAACCTCGTAACATCTCCCTAGAGGCCTGATGACTGACCATCAAAATGCAAGCAATATTTAAACCCTACTCTTGTTGCCCTCCTTATCTGCCTAACAATGCTTTAAGATTCCCTTTAACCCTAGCACATGGAATGCTGGTGTTTATTTCCCCAATATGAAAGCCTTTGAATGGTAATGCTAATTAGAGTGGTAAATTGCTCACCTAGTAAAAAAGATTTATGATCTATTAGCTCTATCTTTACAAAGAGTACCGAAGGAGATTAATTCAGTGAAGTCCACAAAAAGGAAACCAAGGCAGAGGTTATATTTCCAAAAGTTATCTTAAGAGGAAGGCGCCTATGTGGGAGACCTTTGTTCTGTTCAAATTCTTCACTTCACACAGGGATTCCTTTTTTCTGTTGCCCTTCTGTACAAAGCTGAATGGGTTGTTAGTGTCCTTGGCCAGATTTAATCAGAACTAATAATAAAATTTTTAAACTTTGAAATGAGAGTTCTGGCTAAGCTAGTTATCCACCATTACTAGTGAATCCTGAGATGATGCTCAAGAAACAGGGCTAACAACAACATCCTAGATAATGTTAGGTTGGTTATATGAAATATGAGAAGATACAGTACCGACATAATTCTCTTTGTGGTAGTACAAAGGCTACTCACAGTCAGTAGAAACTGTAATTTGAAATTTGGAACTTTTCCCCAGCTGGTGCATGATTCTTGGGATGTTGATTCTCTGCATGGACAGCAAATTGTAGGTCACAGACAACCAAAGTAAATAACCTGTATTCTACAGTATATATAATGGGCTTTCTTTCCCAGCCCTAAAAACATTTCTCACCCCAGATCCTCATTATGTTTTTTGACCTACTAAAGATTCATCAGGTTCTTCCACTTTGCAAACAAGAGTCACTGAGTATCCAGATTACTTAACGTTTATTGTCAAGCAAAAAGTGAGGAGGTAGAGAAAACCAGCCCAGTCATACCTCTTAAGTTTGTTCTGGTGGTTTCCAGACTGGGCGACCCAGATGGCCTCATAGAATAAAACTACACTGATCTTTTAGGCCACAACTACAGTTCTAGGGACCCTGCTGCCCTCTGGCTTCTCAATTTCTTACTCCCCAGGAAATAACCTAAGGAGTCTGCTAGAACGTCTGTACAGAACTTCCTGACAAGGCAGAGAGTGGCCTACAGTCTAATCTTGATAAAAGAAACTAAAGTAACAAAGCTAATGATTAATAACTTCATAAAATATAAACATTGTATAAAAATTCATTTAGAGTTATGCTACTTATAATACAAGTTATGTGTGTTTTTCTTAAGGTAGAAGAATTAAATTAGAGCCAACATCACAGCATTGTTAGAAAAATAACAGCTGTGGCACTTAGTTTTGCAGCTGTCTATATGATACTTGAGTTTCTGCTTTGATATCTATGTGCCTTTTTTGTCTTAGGACATGGTACCAAGAGAAGCACAAAAAATACAAATGTTCTCCCTAAGAAAACTGGAAGCTAAGGGGACAGTCCTTGACAATTACTGGCTTTCTCGTAGGCCTCTACCTATGAGAACACTCAGCCTAGCCCACTTTGGGCAGGCCAACTTCCACATCCCTTCTTCTAGCTCTTTACTCTACAGCTGGCAACTTGCACCGATTAATTGGCCATTATCAGATCCTTAAATTGCCATAGTGACCTAGATTAACCTGATAAGCTATTCATCCTGCAGTATGCTGTTGTCCAGTGGGGAGAGGGTTGTAGTAGGCGTGGGCTTTGTATGAGACCAGAATCAAGAATTGTCTCTTTCTTTGAGGCTGGATTATGGTTCAGTGATAGAGCAGTGGCCTAGCACCATGAGGCTTGGGGTTCAATCTCCAGCACAACATTATTATTTTTTGCTAACATTTATGGAATCCATGGAAATACTCTATTCAGATCTCAACCAGAACTTTCTTAGAGCTGGACCACAGTGTATAAAGCTCTTCTTAACCAAACCTCCATCCTTCCCACATAGAATTTCCAGGTGACAGATCTGCATTGTGGTCTGACTCTCCCTCTGCCGATCCTGTGTGCTTGCTTCCCTTTATCCTTTAGTGGTGCTCTCCTGATAGAGTTTTGTGTACTCATTTCCATCTTAGCTCTATTGCTTTTCTGAGAACCTGGACTAAAACTTGTTCCCATCCTATGACTTCCTCTGACCCATTCTCATACTACATCTACAAGTAACTACTGTGTATATCAAGAATTCTAAATAATTGACTTTTAAAGTCTTCAGTTTTGAGCAACGTTTCATCTCCTAGAACTGTCCATTAAATACAGCTAACCCAAAGTAAAAAACAAAAGCTAAAGCCTTTCATTTTTAAGAAAATATTTTAAAATATTTTAACTATAAAGGTGATTAAAATTATAATAAAGAGGCTAAAAATTAAAATTTCTAAAAGTTTTATAGGGTAACATGGCATTTAGGTACCCCTCTCTCCATTCTTTGCTATTGTAGCAGATACTTTGGGGGCTGTTTGACCAGTTCTTAACAAGAGCTATCAACCACCATCCCTTAATTACAAACCTCTCCTTTCTCACTACACCTAATCCTTCATCAGGAACTTGAAACAAACCATGTCGATCAGCTTCTCTTTCTGAGAATTAAGAATAGAGATCAAAAGGCAAGTAGTAATTTTTGTGCGGTGAGTTGTAAAACTCGAGAGTAGGCCATTTTATCAGCAAGATCTACGGAAGAGAATAGAACCACTTCATTTATTTACAGGAGAGGGACTTTAACTCAGAGAATAACTTACACATGTGATGGAATTGCACTCCAAAAAAACAATGGGGATGTTGCCCACAGATTATTAACAGCAGAAGAGAACTGGACTACTTTTTAGTTAACAAGACGCAGAAAAATATCCTGGAACCAAGGCTCCCAAGCTAAGGTTATCTAGTGGAATCTATACCATGGTACATACAGAACCTGAGTAATTCTATACAGAGAGAAATGCTTAGTATAGGTTTCCTTAGAAGGATCTATAAACATAATAGGTACTCACATGGTACATCTATTCTCCACCAACTACTTCAAGGAGTGGGAAAGGGTCACTTTTCAACAGAAGGGGCATGGGTGTTTCGCAGAAAGGGAAGAGATGTTTGGCAGACAAAACAATGTGTTTACTACATTCTTTCTCTTAGTTACCCAGCATATGTATATACTTTCTCTCACCTGGTACAAGCATTCATTAATCCTGTTATTAAAGCATAGCTGTGAGTAGCAGTCAATCAGTAGTGTTAGAGTTTGCTTTAAATTCATTTTAACTTGCATCCTAGTCCTGAAGAATATGTATTGTTCTTTAGAGAGCCTTGTCCCCACAAAAAAAAGGTAAAACCAGAAATTAATTTGTATGTAGTGTCTGTATACCTATCCATGATATAGACTGCTGGCTCTTCCTTTCACATGCGTTTTTCTCTTCCATTACGATTATGCTTTAGCTGAGGACAAGGCCATGCATCTGGAAGCTACATTTTTTGTTCTTCCTTGTGGCTATGTATGGCCATGTGACTTAAATTTCATGCATGTAAGAAGGATCAGTGTGTTCAAATTGCTTGCCCTACACTACCTCTCTATTCCTGCTACCTGAAACATACATGCTGATGACCTAGCTCCCACTATGCACAGCTTGGTAGAGCAATCAGATGAAAAGAAACTTGGTCTCTAAATTGCTTCATGGAAACCTGCCTACCCAACCTGGACTGTTCCACTATACCACTTATTAGAGAAAAAGAAATATATACAGTGGTACCTCAGTTTACAAACTTCATTTGTTTTATGATTTTGGGGAAGATTGCTGTGTTTGTGTGGGGAATATGGCTATATGTTTTTCACCCAATGCAGAGTTTGCAAATCAAGCAAAATTGTGCCACAGGTTTTGTTTGCAAACTGAATTGTTTGCGAAGAGAAGCAATAGAGAATGGTGAAACAGGTGAAGGGAGGGCCGGGGTATGGGGAAAAAATAAGAACCAAAATGTATCATGTGAAGGTATAAGAGTCCAGTGATAAATATAGCTGTATTGTTTGCTTTAAATGTACCAATAAACAATGGCGGGGAAAAAAAAGAAGCATTTGTGAACTGAGGTATTACTGTACTACTGTCTTTTTAACCATTTTTAAGCCCATATACTTTATACCCTACCTAATGCAATATGTAAGATAGTGTACTTTGTTAACTAAGGGGTTATATGAAAAATTATCTACATTAATTTTTAAAAACAAATAGACATATCAAGTTGCCCTTGAGAGGAAATTATGTGAAAACATTTTTGCAACATTTATGTTTTTGGTCATCACCAGGGAAAATATGTTCTAAGTTGTTCTTAACCCCCTTCTGCAGTGCTTTTTCTGCCTCGCCTCAGAATCACTGCACTGGAGCCAGCCATTGGTTTCAGCATTTACTGAAACCTCTGAAACTACAAGAGACCAGCTTGAAACTGCACTGCACTGAACAGGCTTTAGATATTACTGAATTGGCTTATGAATTCAGCTGTTGATTAAAATTATGAGTTGTTCCAAGGCCTATGTGTGTCTTGCTAAATGAGCCTTCAGCTAGTATATGGTGACAGACTTCCCTATGCCAGTGGTTGCAATTGAGATCTCAATGATCAGTGAGACTGTGACATTTTTAATAGCAAGAAAACCCTACAGCTCAGGAATTATGACTCTGCACAGTCATTCTTCAAGATCAGATGTGAGCTAAACATAACACAGGTGACTCATTAGCTAGGACCTGCAAGCTAGCACAGGTGGTGGCCAGGGATTTGATGCTCAGTGGTTCCAC